AAAATTGCAGCCTTACGTTTGTAGGCATAAATAAACCGGTGACCTAAAAGTCAGTGATCCTCTGTTCTTCCAGATACGTTAATTTACTGCCCATTTATACTGTCTCCTCCTTCAATAGACAAGTGGTGGCGGACACCGAAATTTATGAAACTATATGGGAAAAAACACAAGAAATTGAGAAACTTTTATGTACTCACTTTTTGGGGGGATTTTAGAAGAGACAAACCATTATATTTTGTATTTGTAAACCGTTTTAATGCAATAAAAATTGCATTTTACCCGTAGGAAACGTTAATACTTACATAGACTTCTGTACTGGTGTTTGGGGATTGAATGATAATTTATGATTGACATGTCCATAGAAATCCAGATGTGTGGATTTCTAACCCCAGTTCCTGAACCACAGGAAGTCCACTACTTGTATGGTTCCTAGAGCATTGGCCCAAATCACTATTCTTCAAAATAGGAGGTTTCTGGAAAGGAAGATATGAGGGAACTATGAACTTCTAAAGCCATTGATGTAGCAGAAGACTTGTCTCAGAAAAATCAAGGTATCATACGATTTTAGAGTTAAAAGAAACTTTAGGCCAATTCCCCTTATTGTGTAATCAGGGAAACAAAGACCTCTAAGTGAATTGTAGAATCAAATGGCCACTTTTCAACTTGTAATAATGTCACTCATGTCTGAGTGGATCAAACTCCAATCCTAAATTATGTGTGTGTAAATTTGTGTAAATATTGAATTCATACTTAAAATCAATACTGATGCACATAATATAAACAAGGCAATGGTCATATAGCCTTGGTGATTTACCTTGAATGAGAAATAATCCCCAAATATATTTATTTCATAAGTTTGGAATTTTTATATTAGGTTTTCTCCAAAGTGAGGCCCTGCTGAACTACTCTGATGAAATCCCACTTTTAGTACAAAAAATGTCACTTTCTCCCCTTACAAGCTCTTGCTGAGACATTGGTGAGCTCACCATGTGTCACACAGTGAGACCAGAGCCATAGGTTCCAACAGCCCAGGCACAGCTATCAACAGCTGGAGTGGAGGGTCTCTTGTACATGAATCATAAATCCCCACCCTGCCAATATTTTATAACTTACTGATTTCTGTGCATTTTTGAGGAAATTGATAGTTTTATGTAGCCATATCTTAATATTTACTTTCTTGGTAACAGATTTTGGTTAAGAAATAACTAGTTAAACATAAATATAGGGCTTTTTCTCAAATTATTTTTCTTTTTCTTTTTAAGATTTTATTTATTTATTAATGAGAGACACAGAAAGAGCGGAAGAGGGAGAAGCAGGCTCCCTATGAGGAGCCCCATGTGGGACTCAATCCCGGGACTCCAGGATCACGACCTGAGCTGAAAGCAGATGCTCAACCACTGAGCCACTCAGGTGCCCCTCAAATTATTTTTCTAGAGCACTTGTTTCCTACAAATCAGTAGCAATGGTTTTGCTGGTTGCAAGTCAATAAAAGTGAGTATTCAGTCATATATATAGAATATGCATAAAGATGTAAGTAACTTTACAGAATAGCTATTATATAGATTAAACTTTTTATTTTTTATTATAATTTTTTCCTTTGCATGATTTTTCAAATACTAGGAATTCTGTAGTTAGAATCCTTCTATGGCCTTCATTTACAGTTTGTACAGCGAAGTGCTATTTTAGCCAGAAATGGTGTTTCCATGCTCCTACTAAGGATTTTCTTAAATCCCAACCCTGTTTTCATGATTTGATTATGCCATAATGTTTTTTGAGGTTTTATGCCAAGTTTCATTTAATTTGAACGATTCTCTTTTAAATTAAAGAATACGGGAAAATGTGGTAATAATGCTCTTCCAAAAAAACAAGCTATTGAACATTCTCCCCATATTCTATCATTTAAAAAACCTGCACCATCCATCTTTATCAAAAAGTATGTATTCATTCAAAATGCTGTTATTAGGTATAGGAAGTGTTGATTGATGATAACAAAGACCTGTTTCTGTCTATAGTACATGTCTTACTCAACTGGGTATTATCAGCACTTAGTAGGGGATTATTAAATATTTCTGAAATAATGTTGAGATCAACTATGTACACAAAAAATTAACATAGTTAATCTGTATATAGTTGATAAGAAATAGATTAAATCTAACATAAACACAGACATATAAATGTTTATAAGGAATTTGTAGAAAAACTGGGTAGAAAAGATGCTCTCTTTAATTGGGAAAAATGTCACAAAAAAGATTCCATTGACTTTATAGAACATATGGAGCTGGCTTGGCAGATGGGTGGGAGTAGGTGGTTCCTGGCGTGCAGAAGGACCTCACAAGTCCATCTTCCTGCTTCTTGTCAGAAAAGAGATAATAAGATGTACACACTAAATGTTTCTCTCTGTTTTTAAATAAGGTTCATGTAGTTATGATATTTGGTCTCTATTTATATTTGTACGCTTGCTGAGCTTTCTTTTTTCCTTTTTCCTGGACAAGTCTACTCTGATGAACTTATCAGCTATTTTAATGGGATAATTGTAGCTGAAACAAATAATTTTAAAAACTGAACCGATAGGCTTGACCAGTTGTTTTGGTGCCCTATACAGAGGTTCCCTAAAGAGTCAGGTCTCCTGACTTTCTCCAAATCATGGACCACGGGGTGTGTGCATTTGAAAAATTATGTATAAATCACTTCTTGGTCTTTTGGCTAAGATCAAGTGCGAAAAGTTATGTATAAATTTAATAAAATTTACACATTAAAATCAACAGTCGTGTTCACATTTTATTTTATTATTTTTTTAAAGATTTATTTATTTATTCATGAGAGACACAGAGAGAGAAAGAGAAAGAGGCAGAGACACAGGCAGAGGGAGAAGCAGGCTCCTCGCAGGGAGCCCCAATGCGGGACTCGATCCCGGATCCTGGGATCACGTTCTGAGCCTAAGGCAGATGTTCAACCATTGAGGCACCCAGGTATCCCGTGTTCACATTTTAAAGGTGCCTTTGGTTATACTTATGGTTACTAGTTTTTGGTGAAAATTCCTTCCACCCAATCTAAAATTTGTTCCCTAAGTTTGAGGTTTTTATATTGTCTTTTCTCCAAAGTAAGGAACCTTTGAACTTAGTCTGATAAGTCCAAATTTCAAATTTTGTGCAAATGAAAATTTCATTTTCTCTCCTATGTTGTTCACAGTTTCAGAAATGTTCTTCTAAACTTAAAAAAGAAAACCTTGTGTATGTCTCACCTAAAATGTAGGATGACTCACAGTCAGCATTTTGTAGTAGCTAATGCTTAACCTTGGCTTTTTCTTGCACTTAAGGGGGAAAAAGAAAAAGAAAAAAGTACATTCACAACATAAAACCTTTGTATCAGTATAGAATTAAAGTGATTATCTCCAGGGAATATTAAGATGAAAATGTGATGTGAAAACAGATAATCCACCTTTTAATTATTTCAAAATTGTTTGAAATGAGAACATATTATTTTTATAATATATACTTATAACTTTTAATTATTATTAGGTTTTTAACTTCATTATTTCATATTTATATAAAATTAACCAGAATTCTTTTTTTTTAAATTAACCAGAATTCTGTGACAAATTCCCATATAGCCATTACTCAGCTTCCATAATCATCAACTCATTGACAATCTTATTTTATAGATATTCCTCCTACCTCTGGGAACAAAGGTTATACCTGGAAACAAAATCCAGATACAACATTTCAACTATAGATATTTTAATATATATTTCTAAAAGAAGGGGATGAAGATAATAGCAGTTATCATATCTCAAACATTTTACAATAATTCCTTAATATCTATTCAGTGTTCAAATGTCCTCATAAAAGGCATAAACAGCTTTTTTTAGAGTTTATTTAAGTTAGGATACAAATAAGGTCACAGGTTGTGATAATTGATACATCTTTTAATCTCTTTTAATCTTTAGTTTACTCCTATTTCTTTCCCTTATCGCTGAACTGTATTTGTTTTTAAAAAATGTTTTCTAGGGGTGCCTGAGTGGCTCAGTCCATTAAGCTACCGACTCCTGATTTGGGCTCAGGTCTCTATCACAGGATCGTGAGATCAAGCCCTGCATCAGGCTCTGTACTGAGCATGGAGCCTGCTCAAGATTCTCTCTCTTCCTCTGCCCCTCCGCCACCACTAGCTTCTGGGGTTTTCTACATCTGACATTTTGCTGATTGCATCTCTGAGATCTGTTCGAACATATTCCTGGGCTCTTGTATTTTTTTTAATTGGCAGCTGATAGCTGGATCTATTCTAGGAGTTTGGTCACATTCAGGTTATTTTTCTCAAAGCCAAAATAGTGATAGTTTAATATCCCTTTTTGTGATGTTAGGAGCCAATGACGCATGTGCCTAGATTTTTACTTTATCCAAGGCAGCAAAATAATGATACTCTCATTTTATTATCCCTTCTATTTATTATCTAGGATATTTCTATAATGGAAAAAAAAAAACCCTTCTCATCTGGTACTTAATTACCAGTGGTATCATTTCCTAGGAAAAACAAGATGGTTTGGTTCTATCCTCCCATTTATTATTTTTCAAAACAATGAGTTGGTTCTAGTGGTAACTAATTCATTTTTTTTCTTGGATCATTTGACAAACTTTTGGAATTAAACACATTTGAAATGTTGCACATAATTACCATTATTATCCTTATTGACCCTAAAATTTGCCCATCTCTAGCCAATGAGAATCTCTTCAAGGTAGTTCCTGAGTCCTTTGGTTATGACCTAGGTGTTCTTTTTTTGTTTTGTTTTGTTTTTTTAAGATTTATTATTTATTTCAGAAAGATCAGGGGGAGGGGCTGAGGGAAAGAGAAGGGAACCTCAGCAGATCCCTGCCTAGCATGGAGCCCGTGCGGGGCTGCATCCCAAGACCCTGAGATCATGACCAGAGCTGAAATCAAGAGTCGGCCACTCAACTAACTGAGCACCCAGGTGCCCTGACCCTCATGTTCTTTTTTTTTTTTTTTTTGGTAAATATTTTATTTATTTATTCATGAGAGACACAGAGAGAGAGGCAGAGACAGGCAGAGGGAGAAGCAGGCTCCACACAGGGAGCCCGACACGGGACTCCATCCTGGGACTCAGGATCACGCCCCGAGCCAAAGGCAGACACTTAACAGCTGAGCCACCTAGGCCTTCATGTTCTTTTGATAGCTTTCTTATATATATGTTTCTTGAATATTCTTTCCTCAGACCTGGAGTCCACCACTTCTCTAAGGATCCAGGTTCCATTTAGTGGGAAATATCTGGAATGAAATGATGTTTTTAGTTGGATGAATACTTTGATCCAATCATCTTTCAGCAACCCCTGAGGATTGGAATTAAAACCCAAGATTTGGAATAAAAAAAGACTAGGGTTTGAATATCATCACTTACCACCTTGGTGATCTTGGAAAATTTACAGGGTTCTAATGTGTAGTAAGACAGCAAAGCAGCACAGGCCAGAAGCACAGCAGCACCGGTATTCTCTCCTGAAGACACCACAGAAAAGGATGGACCTGAGAGCTGTTCTCAGAGACTAGTCCCAGAAATTTTTGGGATGGGTAGACATAGATTCTGTCCACAGGCAGGGAAAGGAGGAGGGCCTAGAGTCACAAATAGGTACCAGGTTTGGGGAAAAATGTTTTAGTTCTGCCCTCATCCCCCTATTGCCCTAGGCAGATTTCCCCCTTCCTTTTGGTACTTACTACAGGGGCAACGATATCAGAGTTTAGGCCAGAAGCAGTGGGTAACTGCAAGGCAGTGCTCTGACCTGGTATGGTTATGAGCAGAAGACCGTAAGTATAGCCGGTCGGACCAGTCCCTGGGAACCACCCCCGCCCTCCCCCCACACACACAGCCTTGCTCTTGCACTCCTGTGGGCATCTGCTTGTAACAGACAGACTGCCTTCAAAAAAGATTATTCAGGGATCCCTGGGTGGCTCAGCGGTCTAGCGCCTGCCTTCAGCCCAGGGTGTGATCCTGGAGTCCCAGGATCGAGTCTCATGTCGGTCTCTCTGCATGGAGCCTGCTTCTCCCTCTGCCTGTGTCTCTGCCTCTCTCTCTCTGTCTCTCCTGAATAAATAAATAAAATCTTTGAAAAAAAAAAAAGATTATTCAGATGTCCCCTGGAGACCAGGTGAGGACAATACCATGTGTCTCCCACAAAGGCCTGTGACAACAATTATACACTCCAATTCACCTGAAGGAGCATGATCTTGCTAGACGTCTGCCCCTGTCCATGGGCGCATTTTACTGATCAGGGCAGCTAAATGCCCTGAAGGGTCAAGGATGAGCTCAGAGGGCAGATTCTGAGAACTCTAAGTTTGGAGAACGTCAAGCTGAACAACCAGAGAAAGCCGAACTCATGGAGAACAGAAAAAGAAGTTAAAGTCAGTGTGATAAATATACTTGAAAAGATGAGAGAATTTCCTGGGAACAGAAAGTGAAAATAAGCAGTTGAATAAAAGAATTAGAATCATTAAGAAAGAATGCTTCCAGGGAATGACAGTACTGCACAATATCATTTACTTGTGGAATCTAAAAAAAAAAATAAATAAATAAAATAAAATAAACTCTTAGAAACAGAGAGTAAAATATTGGTTGCCAGGGGCCGGGAGCTGAGAAAACAGGGAGAGTTTGGTAAAAGGGTGCAAACTTTCAGTTATAAGATGAATACAGCTTGAGGCTCTAATGTATAAAACAGTGACAGTAGTTGATAACGCTGTTTTGTATAATTGGAATCTGCTGAGAGTAGAACTTAAAATGTTCTTATGCGCACAAAAAGTAAATGTGTGAGACGACAGATGTGTTAGCTGGATGCACATTTGTATCAGATCATCACACTGTACCCTTGAAATATCTTACAATTTAACTTAATTATACCTTGAGAAAGCTGAAAAAATAAAGCGAAACTTAAAAAAACATTTAAAGAATCCTATAGTTCTGGAATAAAGGATTCAGTGGATTGTTCAAATAATGAAAGTATCTGGTAAATACGTGAGCTGGGGAAGTTGGTCACAGAGTTTTCCCAGGAGGCATCAGGGAAAGATAGGGTCGAGAATGGAAAAAAAAGAGAAAAGAAATTTGGGTAATCAGACAAGTGCCCAAGTCCATTTGTTAGGGACACCAAAAGAACGAAAGGAAATGGGAGGAGGCCAACAGTTCAAGCAATAATGACCAAGAATTTCCTAATGTCACACGGCTAGTGAATGGCAAAGCCAGGAGGTCAGCCCAGGCAAGCTAGCTGGACTACATACCCCGCCTTGGATCTACTACATCAGATGCCAGTGTGGAGGAGGAGGAGAATGAGGTTAGGAATAGGGCATAGAGAGGGGACAACTACAAAATAAGTAGAAGAGAACCAGCGCGTGAATCGAGGGAGGCAGTGCGACAGGCGCGGGGGATAAGTCTAGATGTCTCAACTCAATGCGACTGAGGTCTTTAAAAATAAACACTGAAACCCCCAAAACTCAGAAACCACAATCTAAAAATAACAACAAAAACAGACAAGTCACTTCCTCTCCCTACTCCTCATTTTCTTCATCTATAAATGGCAGATGGTAACCCCTACCTCCTGTGTTGTTGTAATAAAGATTCAATCATATGACATAGGTAAGATTCTAAGCATAGGAAAATAACTGCACATACTTATGTAAAAATAATTGTTTATTTACTTAAAAATTCAATACTTGTTGAGGATTTTCTATGCACCAGGCAGTGGAATACAAAACACACAAAAATCTTGAAAGTGAGGGATTTCCTCGGGTAGAAGGTGGGTGGTGGGAGGGGGGAGAAAGGCAATAAATAAATATTAATAGATCATATGATGCGAGGCAGTGTGAGTGCCACTGATGAAATTAGAACAGGGTGAAGGAATAGAGAATGGGGTGGTGAAGAGGTACTATTTTGACAGGATGACTGGGAAAGGTCTATGTGAGGAATGAAGTGAGTGAACAAGCCAGGAAACGTCTGGAGGAGTAGATTCTTGGGGGGGAGGTGGTGGGGGATGGACAACAAGTGCAAAGATCCTGAGGTAGGAGAGTACTCGCCATGTTCATGTTCAAGGAACAGCAGAATGCCAGTGTCTTGCGTGGGAGCAGAGTGAGCCAGGGAAGAGTAGTGGGAAGTTAGATCAGAGAGGTAGCCAATGGCTAGATCGTTTGGATCTTCATCCGTTGCTAAAAATTCAGCTTCTCTCTCACCATTTGAAAACTTGGTCTTTGTGTACTCTGCTAAATCAGGGGTGCCAACCGTGGAGGGAAGCCCAGCTCGTGCCTCTCTTATGTTAGTAAATTCTTTCCAGCCCCTACGAGTGAGTATGTTAGAAGACACCTCAAAATTGAGCTTCCTAGGCAATTGCCTTCTGCCTGCTGGCCACAGGAAGTATCTTTTGATCCACAGTGGTCATTCCAAACCAGTCCTCTAACTGCCCTTGTCCAGATCCATGGGAATTACTCAGAAATGTTTGAAGTCCCAGAGCCAGGCACACTCTGAGTCACCCCTTAGTCTAGGGGAGGTGGCCAGAAAGCAGCCAGGCCTTAGGAGAGGTTTTGATTTAGTGCTGTTGGATTCTCTTACACAGCCCTGTCCATACACACAGGTAACCCTATCTCACCCCTGCAGGCTGGGGTGCCCATGTTCTTTAGAAAGGCATCCTAAACATGACCTGATCCTTCCCTCCCCCAGCGAAGGTTGTTCCTTTTCGCTAATCACAGCCCAAGATTCCTTTCATGTCCCATACCTCTCAGAGGGGTGCTCTGGCTACAGCTGCCGATGTCCGAAACAAATGCACCCTGCTCTTGTTTGACTTTCCAGTCAATTCTGGATTTGTACTCTGTCCAGAAGGCTGTCCATTTTTCACCTCTCTCAATCTGCTAGAGCAGTTTGCTTTATTACTTGCCCACAACTTCATCTGGGTGTTTAAATTACATTTAAACAATATGCCCAAAACTAAGGAGATGAGAGGGCGGGGAATAAACTAATGAATTGCCACCTATGGGGCTTTATTTAAATTTGTCATTTAGGACTCCCAGAAGGAGAAGACTCAGTGGCCCATAAGAGGGTAGCCCAGCTTTCTCCCATTGGATACGGTTTCGGAGGTTTTCGGCAGCTAGAAATACTGGCAAACATAGACAATGTCAGAAAAGAGCCATATCTGGGCTGGCCCCTGTATGCCAAACACCATAATTATGAGAAGGTCAAGATAGACCTCCTAGCTCCAAATATTTTTCTTCTGAGGTTGGTGGGAAAGGACTAGAAAATGTGCATAATGAAGAGGGGAGTCTATTGACTTTTTTACTCAGAAATGTCCTGGCTGACTTGACTTCCTATAATAGTGTGCCTAACCAACACTTTCTTTATCTGCTGTCAACAATAATTTTAAGATTGCTCTCAGGATTTTTGCATCCCAGTTATTCTTAGCAACCTGGCACCTATTCCCACTATCATGCCACTAAATGGCAACAGGCAGCTATTTCGGAGAAGATTAAATGAGGATAATTATAGCTATCATGTACCTGCCCTCATGCAGCTCAGGAAGGGTGTTGATGGCTCCTTGGCCAGCCATGGCAAATTCTATAGCTGTGTACCTTCCTAAGAGCTGGGCCAGGTAGGGATATACACAGGATGGAAAACCATTCAGCTCAGTTCATGGATGGGAGATGCATAACTTAGAATTTAGGGTATTTATGACCTTTGGAGATTGCTGTCATGAACAGAGGTGACTCCACACTCCCAGAAAGTGTGGCCTCATGTCAGTCAAAAGCAGCCTCTTGTGTGCTAGAAGGACCACGGATCCAACTTGCCACTTCCTGGACCCCATGCAACTAGGAGCCAATGAAAGAAACAGTAGCAAGATATTAAGGTGTTTTGAGAGGATCTGTTGTCTGATCTAACAGCAGCTTCCCTTCCCCTTTTGCTGTGCATGCTCAGGTAAACGTGGGAAAAGAACGATTTGAGAAAATTGGGAGACGTGGCCTTTGTATATGTGTCTTCTCATTAGCACAATTTATAATCAGCCAGGTAGAGCTGTCTCCTGGTAAACCACTGTCATGGGAACTTAGAACACACCCGATTTCCCCTGTTTTTACTATCCTATCCAATTTTGGCCACCTTCTAACTCTAGTCCTGATGTACGGTGGTACTTGATAAACTTTGCAACAACATGATGGATGAAAATGAACGTGAACTTTAGAATGAGAAATGAGAAAGCTGTGAATCTTGGCTCTACGATTCACTTAGGGACCTACTATCTTCGTTACATGTCTGAGTATAAAGTCCATAATGTTGTGAGGTCTCAATTTATTTTGCAGTGAAGCAACAACAAACACTAACCTAAGTGCATTAGCCTGCCCAGGCCACCATAACAACATACTACAGACTGTGGAGCTTAAACAATAAATGCTGATGTTCTCACAATTCTGGAGGCTGGACACCCAAGGTGAAGGCACCTTTATTTTTATTTTATTTTATTTTTTTATGATAGTCACAGAGAGAGAGAGAGAGAGAGGCAGAGACATAGGCAGAGGGAGAAGCAGGATCCATGCACCGGGAGCCCGACGTGGGATTTGATCCCAAGTCTCCAGGATCACGCCCTGGGCCAAAGGTAGGCGCTAAACCGCTGCGCCACCCAGGGATCCCTGAAGGCGTCTTTAGGGTTAATTTCTGGTGAGACCTCTCTCCTTTCTCTCTTTCTTGCTATGTCCTCACATGGCCCTTCCTCTGTGCACACATAGAGAGAGGAGCTCTGGTGTGTCTTCCTCCTGTTAGA